CGAGGGCAACTTCTGTTCCATGGGTTGATTGTTCTCCCTGTCAGAAAATCTCTCCTTATTTCCAGGTTGAATCTCTCCTTGTTCAGTTTCCATCCATTATTTCTTGTCTGGCCTTCAGGTGCTTTAGAAAATAGCTTGACCCCCTTCCTCCTCCTCTCTGTGGCAGCCCCTCAAATATTGGAAGATGCTGTCCTGTCTCCCCTGGTCCTACCCTGGTAGGTAGGTAGGTAGGTAGAGATAGATAGATAGACAGACAGACAGACACGGTAGGTAGGTAGATACCGTAGACAGGTAGGCAGGAAGGCAGATAGATATGGTAGATAGATAGATAGGTATGTAGGCAGGTAGATATAGGTAGGTAGGTAGATAGATACGGTAGATAGATGTAGGTAGATAGGTATAGATAGGTAGATAGGTTGATAAATAGATATGGTAGATAGATGTAGATAGGTAAGTAGGTAGATACGGTAGACAGGCAGGCAGATACATATGATAGATAGATAGATAGATAGATAGATAGATAGATAGATAGATAGATAGATAGATAGAAAGAAAGAAAGAAATAGGGTAGATAGATGTAGGTAGATAGGTATAGATAGGTTGATAAATAGATATGGTAGATAGATGTAGATAGGTAGGTAGGTAGATACGGTAGACAGGCAGGCAGATAGATAGATAGATAGATAGATAGATAGATTTGAGAGACAGATAAGGTAGATAGATAGCATAGATAGATAAATAGGTAGGTAGGTAGGTAAATAGATATGGTAGAGAGAGAGAGACAGACAGACAGACAGACAGACAGGGTAGATAGATAAATATATAGATAGGTAGGTAGGTAGATATGGTAGACGTAGATAGGTAGGTAAGTAGATACAGTAGACAGACAGGCAGGCAGATAGATATGGTAGGTACGTAGGTAGGTAGGTAGATATAGATAGATAGGTAGATTGACCTCAACTTACAACAGTTCATTTAGTGACTGTTCAAAGTTACAACGGCACCGAAAAAAGTGACATTTTCCAGGCTTACAACCGTTGCAGCACCCCCATGGTCAGGTGATCAAAAGTCAAGACGCCTGGCAGCTGGTTCATATTTATGACGGTTGCAAGATCCCTGGGTCCTGCGATCCCCTTTTATGACTTTCTGACAAGCAAAGCCGACAGGGAAGCCCGATTCACTAACTCCACGAGGGTGGGCCCACGATTCACTTCACAAGAAAGGTTGGCAAGAAAGGTCGTAACACGGGGGCAAAACTCACTGAACGCAATTCCTCACCCCAGCAGTGTACATGTGGGGCACGCTTCTGGTCGCAAGTTTGAGGATTACTTGCACATCGACGCCACTTTAAAAACAACCGAAGATCCCTTTGTGAGCCTAAAAGAACACCAAGATTAAGCCAGGCTATAAAGAGAAAGGCTATTTAGGGAAGCATCCGTCTTCATACCCAGCCAACGTTCCAACAAACAAGCAAGGAAACAATCCCACATATTGGAAAATAAAACTGCCACCTCTTCGGAGGAGCCGCTGGAGCACAAACTGTGGCTGGAATGCAGAAGAATTACTGCTTAAATAAAACGGAGCGAGGGGTCTGAGGTCTGGACTGTGCAGAAAGATAATTCCCCGGACTAAGATTTGAGAAAGGAGGGTGGGCTTAAAATCCCGAATGCCTCCATTTAACTGTCCTCAAGCCATCTTTACTTTTGCAGAATAATTACTCTAAGAATTACTCTTTATTTTCCCAAACCTGGATATCAAAAGAGCACTCTGGGCATGAATATCACCGGGCAAGAGAAAACAAGCTTTTCGTCAAAACCGGGCGATTTTTTTGCAACTGATCTTTGACAGTTCTTCGAACAGCCATTACGGGATTTATACCAAAAATATTGGATCTCCTGTTCGAGTTGGAATCATTTTTTTTAAAATTTATTTTAAGAAAATCTATACGGCTGCCCAACTCTGAGTTACTCCCTTGGACACCGAGGCTGCCTTGGTGGATCAAGGCAGCAAAACAAAGCGCAAAAGTTCAACTCCGACTTCGGTATTCCTGGCAACGGGGGCCGCTGTTCCTATCCGTCATGGAAATACAGGGCCGCTCTTGGGAGATTTAACTTTTTCTCCCAAATGAGACCTCAACGTCGGGTTGCAGCCTTCCTTAAGCTAGCATGCTCTGTATGTCAACACCACCCGCCATCCCGTTCTGTTGCGAGCCTGCATTTTGTCTGCTTGCAACGTGCGAAGCGGGAGGCGCATTTGCGAGATTAAAAAAAAAAAATACGCTTTTGACCTTGTCTGGAGGGGGGGATGCAAGACTCTCCTTGCCACGAGGGAGAAGGTGGAAGAGCATTTGCTACTGGCAGGAGGATCTTACGCGAGTCGAGCCTCAGGAGTCGCATGGGATTTGTCTTTTAAGTTACAACGGCGCGGGAAAAAAAAGTGATTTATGACTGTTTTGCACTTACAACGAATGTCCCCAAAGTCATGTGACCAAAATCCGGATGCTTGGCAACTGCCACTTATGTCAACACAAAATATTTCTCTAGTCTTTTAGAGTTGCCATCAGAAAGGGAGTGCATTCCTAAATTATCATAATTTCTAGGCGCCCTGAAGCTTCCGGCGCACAAGTTTATTATTGGAGAGCATGATGGATGACTCTTGGCTATCGATGTGTCCCATGGGAGAATATACACCCAGGGGGTGGGGGAAGACCAGGGTCAAGGGGGAAATGAATGATGCGTCTCAGAGTTAGCTACACCCAGGTAGCCCCGGCATGTTCACTCCTAATAAATCTTTTTAACTCTGAAAGATGCGGCTGGGGACTCATGATTTGAATGGGGGTGAATGCCAGAGCCCTGACAATTTATTTATGACAGTTGCAGTCATAAATGTGATCCACTTTTGCAAACTTCTGAGAAGCAGGAAGCCAGATTCACTGAACAACCGAGTTACTAACTTAATTGATTATTCATTCACAACTGCGGCAAGAAAGATTGTGTAAAATTGAAGCAAAGCTCGCAAATTAGCAACACAAATCATACACTCAACTGTGGTCATAATTCGAGGAGTATGACGCCACCACGCCTGCTGGGCTCAGACAATATATTAACCCACAAAACAGAAAAATAACACCTTCATCTCTTCTATTAAAATCCAAACTAACATCAAGTTTAAGGCAAGATAGGTGCAGTCTTCACCCGATACCATGAAACATTGGAATCCTCAACTTGCAACATTTCATTTAACGACTGCTCGAAGTTACAATAGCACTGAAAAGCGACTTATGACCGCTTTTCACACTTACGACTGTCTTTTCACATGTTTCACACTTACGACCGTCGCAGCATCCCCACAATCATGTGATCAAAGTTCAGATGCTCAGCAACCAACTGTTGTGCTTAGCGGCAGCAGGTGAAGATGGCTGAGGAGAGTGAGGACTCTGATGAGGGGATAGGACCATCAGGGAGTGGACTGATGCCTTCAGAGATTGTGGGGGATGGCAGCAGCAATGAGGAGTTCCCCGAGGAGCCTGTGCCAAGTGCACATGCACGAAGGATTACTTGGAGGAAAGAACAATTACAGCAGCACGGGCGACTCGGGAGTAAGGCTGCAAGGTAATAGCCCCTCCTTCAAGAGGATAAAAGCCAGGTTTGGAAAAGCCTTCTTTGCAAACAGCAAAGAAGCTCTGAAACTCAACTTCTGGGCATTTTAGTTCGTGTTTGAAGTATCTGGTAAATTAGTTCTTATCTCTTGAGTTTTCGGCAGCATTGACAAACAACTTGGCAAGGCTCTTGTAGGAGCTAATTAGTAGAAAGCAGCCTTTAATCTGCTTCTCACTCGTTAATAAACCTTAAAAGGTGAGGGCTGCTGCCTTTGTCTGTGTTTGCTCTTTGAGAACCTGGTTGGGTCAGAAACACGGACTCGCTTTTATGACGGTTGCGGTGTCCCTGGGGTGTGTGTGTCACATTATCTGCTTTTGTGACCTCCCGACAAAGTCCATGCGGAAGCCAGATTCTCTTAACCAACTCACTAGCTTCACCAGTGCAGCGATTCACTTAACAGCGGCGGCCAAGAAAGGTCGCACAAATGGCGCAAAAGTCACTCGACAACCGTCTCGCTTTAGCAGCAGAAATTCAGGGGCTCAATTGGGGTCGTTAAGTCGAGGATTAGCTCTATGCAGTGCCACAAAATTATTCATTCACCCAGGAGAGTTGGAAGGGGAGCGGGGAAGAATCCCAGCCCATACAGGCCGTCCTCGACTTATGACACCTGAGCCCAAACTTTCCATTAAGTGAGAATTTGCTATGCGAGCCTGGCCGTTTCCCCACCTTTCTTGCCACCGTCGTTAATTGAATCCCCACGGTCGTCGAGTCCATCACAACAGTCATTAAGTGAATCCTGCTTTCCCCCCCCCTGACTTTGCTGGTTGCAAAAAGGGGATCCCGTGACCCTTGAGCAGGACGCTGCCACAGTCATAAGTATGAAGCAGTGACCAAACCTTTGAATTTTGAATCCAGGATGCTGCAACGCTCGCCTCGATGTGAAAAGTAAGCCATAAGTCACTTTTTCCCCCATAGACGGTCACTAAATGAACCGTTAAGCCGAGGACTTACCAGTATTGGGGTCCCAGGCAGCTCAAGACACTCCCCCCACCTCCCCCAAGAGAGCCGCCCCCAAATGACCCTCCCATTGCTCATCACTCTGGTACCGTATTTACCGTCGAGCGCCTCTAAAATGCGCTCTCTGCCCCTCCGAAGTACCGTAAGTAACCAAATAAGCGCGCAAGCCACCCAAGGCAGCCCCCCGGAATAGATAGAACGTTACCGTATTTCTTCCTCTCACGCTCCCTCCCCAAAAATCCGCCCCCCCCCCCCCCCCCTCCCCCTTTTTCCCCCCCCCGCCCCCCCCCCCCAAACCCCCCCCCCCCCCCCGCCGCATTACCGTATTTCCCCGTTGCCGCCACCGCCCCGCTCCCTCGCGCGCATCCCAGACAGGCCGGATACAGTTTGAAGCCCCTCAGGATCTCCTTGGCCCGCTGCTGCTCTTCCTCCTCTTCTTCCTGGCTCGACATGGTCCCGCTGGGCGCCCCTGGCAGGCCTGGCCGAGGGGAGAGAGGCGAAAAGGCAGAGCTCGCCGGCCCGGACTCCCCTGCGCCCGCCACTGTCCAGCTGAACCAACCACCCGGGGAAGGATACGCCCGCGCCGGCCAATCGCCGCCCGCGAGTGACGACGGGCAGCAGCGAGGGCCAATCAGAGGGCGAGGAGAGGCTTGGCGGCGGCGACGCCCCTCCGGTCGCTATGGAAGGGACGCGCGCCTCCTCCCTCCCGCTTTCGCAGCAACCGCGGGCAGCTGTGGAGACGGGTGTCGCCGCGGGACAATCTTCTCTAAAAGCCGAAGTCTTGCCCGCAGTGGGAAACGCCGTGGCTGTGGGAAGTGCTGCGGCGGAGCGCCCCCTGGCGTTCAAGAGTAGGGGGAGGCAGGAGCAGCGGGGTTTTCTGTTCTCACGTGGGCCAGACATACGTTACTTCGTGGTTATTAATGAAGGCTTTAGTGCTGGGGTGTCCAACTTTGGCAACTTTAAGACCTGTTGACGTCGACTCCCAGAATTCCCCAGCCAATGCTGGCTGGGGAATTCTGGGAATTGAAGTCCACACCTCATAAAAGTTGCCAAGTTTGGACCCCATTGTTGTTGGGGTAACTCCAGTTGGAAAACTCCATGTGTGCCCCCTTGAAATTTCCCCCCATTCTTTTCACTTTTCCACTTCTTAAAAAAACAAAAACTTTCCCCCCCCTCTAAAGGGGTGGCTGGGTTTATTCATTTACCTAACAATTATAACTCAATATTCTAGTTTTGATACCCTGGGTCCATATGAAAACAGAAAAAGGAAAAAAAAATCAAAAAATTCCAGGTACCCATCTACCCACCCACCCAAATATTAGCAAAATAAAGCTGCTAAGTGGTCTTAGAGCTTAATAGGTAAACAATATTGTATCACCTTTATCAACAGGTAACTGGGATGTGTGGCTATTTAATTAAATTTTTAAAATTTTAAGATCCTCATTTATTGTTTATCCTGGATTTTATTCAATGTCTGTACACCAGTCACCTCTGATGAAATGAGCAGCATATAAATTTAATAAATGAATACATTATTGTGGTTAACCTTTAAAAAATTGCCGTATAAAAACAGTGATCTGTTTTAACAGTAAAATTGTTAGCTGGGGCTGCATTTCTTTAATACGTTTTACCCGTAATTAACTTATCCATGGTTTGTTCACTTAATTAATTTCCTGGTAGTAATTTCCACCAATTTCCAAGTAGTTGCTCCTGTTCCTTATTAAAAGGGCAACATTTGACCAAAAAAAAGAGAGAGGAACAAACAAATGAAAACTTAATGTCACAACAAGGCATAACAGAATTTAGGAAAATAGCTTTAGCAGCCTCCTGCTGGTTTTACCCATCTCTACATGAACAAATAATTGTCAAGAACTTCAGGGAGCCATCAAAAAGCAGATATTTTGGGGAGCCATCAAAAATCAAATATTTCTAATGTCAGCTCCAAGAGACAGATCAATGGTGATGAATTTTTACCCACTGCTGCTGTTTTGCAAGAGCCAAAAGAATCTAGCCTGTTTACCTGAGAAGCCCTAAATGTCATAATATTCTTAGCTGCTACAGAAGTTAATTAAAAGTTAAAAACAGCTAATGTTCTGGAATGCAGAGGTTTGTTTATTTATTTTTAAAATTAAAATGTATAAGGCTGCCTAATTGCCAACAGTGAGATGCTGGATGAAATAAGTAGTTTTGTTAAATTATGAACAATTTGGTCTAAGGAATAAACAGAAAACTAGCAAGTTTGCAGGTGGCACCAATTATACATTGATAAAATATTGCAAAGAAATGCAGGGAGGACAGGATGAATTGTAAATTAGATAGCAAACCCAAATAGCAAATAGTCCATGGTCAAGTCAACCCTTTAAGGTAGATTACACTAAGAGATCAAGTCATGCTGGCAATGTTATTTTTATTATAAAGTAATAGAATCTGTAAATTTCAATGCATTTGCCCCTCACTTTCTATATAGGTAATCCTCAATGCTGATGTAACTGAGTCTGGAATTAAGGTTCCAAGTTGTGATGGTCATGGCATGCCTTATTTTAGGAGCATTTTTGAAGTGTTGCTTAAGTCAATGCCACAGTCATTAAGTGAATGCTGTGTCATTAAGTGAATCCCTTTTCTTCAATGGGAATTTTTGCCAGGAACTGGAAGTAAAAACCAAAAATCGTGACCATGGAATTCTGCAAATAAATATGAGCTGGTGGCCAGGTGCCCAAAATGTAATCATATCAATCAATCAATCTATCAATCAGAATAGACCTGGAAGGGACCTTGGAGGTCTTCTAGTCCAACCAATATGACTGTGAAGGGGAGGGGTGTGGCTGTTGGAACTTTGGAACCAGTTCATAAGTACATCTGGCAAGATCTGTCACAACTTTGAATGGTTGCTTAACAACCGGTTGTTAAAAGAGGACTACCTGTATCTTTGGGAGAACTAGGAAGGAGTTTGTCTGCAACACTTTCCTTGGGAACAGTTTTGCCCCCCAAACTCAGGTTTATGTTATCTGACTGTTATAAAACAGAATCACAGAGTTGGAAGGAAACTTGAAAGTTTTCTAGTCCGACACTCTACTCAGGCAGGAAATCCTATACACCATTTCAGACAAATGGTTTTCCAATTTCTTCTTAAAAACCTCCAGTGATGGAGCATCCACAACCTCTGTAAGCAACTTGTTCCAATTGTTTAATTGTCATGAAATTTTTCCTTAATTACAGGTTGCTTCTCTCCTTGGTTAGTCTCCATCCATTGCTTCTTGCCCCGCCTTCAGGTGATTTGGAGAATAGAATGAACCCCCCCCCTTCTTTGTGGCAATCCCTTAAAGTATTGGAAAACTGGTATCATGTCACCCGCTAGTCCTTCTTTTCATTAAACAAGACATACCCAGTTCCTGCAGTTGCAGTTGGGTTAAAAAACTTTTTCACGAGAAAAGTTATCCATTCCTCCACTCACAATAGAATTCTTTATGCCTCCAGGGTCAAAATTTTGGGCCTGGACAATCGATCACGAAATTGTCTGCTTTTACATCTTGCCTGTCAACGACTTCTTCAGCCTCAATCACAATAATACACGGGCAAACAACCAATACCATATCAAGGTAAACTGCTCCAAACTCGATTTGTTGTTACAGCCTCAACCTCATCCCTAAGAGGTCCTTAAAGGGGACGTGCATAAGCCCACCGGCGTGCCTACCGTCCCTGTCTTACTGTCCCCGTTTATCTGTATTTACTTCCTTTGTTCTTGTTTATGTTCATACTTATACTTGATATCTTGTACATGTTTGACAAACAAACAAACAAACAAATAATAGCTGGGTACATCTTTGTACAGGAACCAGAATCTCTGTGGTGAGACTGGCAGCTAAACAAGCTATTTCAGTGTTTCTAAACTTTGGCAAATTGAAGATGGGCGGACTTCAACTCCCAGAATTCCCCAGCCAACATGCTGAATTATGCTTCCTTATTCTTGTCAAAATAAAGTCTCCTTTGAGTCAAACTTGGCTTCCAACGACTTCACAGACAGATCCGTAGAGCAGCGTTTCTCAGCCTTGGCAACTAATAAATAAGGAAGAACAATAATTCAGCATGCTGGCTGGGGAATTCTGGGAGTTGGAGTCTGCCCATCTTCAGCTTGCCAAAGCTGAGAAACACTGAAGTATTATTATTATAGAATAGAATTCTTTATTGGGCAAGTGTGATTGGACATTATTATTATTGTTATCATTAAACATGAAACTCAGTCAACTGAACATTTAAAAATGTGTCACTAATATAATTGACTGATGCTAACGGTTGATATGGGTTGCTGTCAGCATCCTAGTATTTTCTTAAGAGGTACGATTATTATCATTATTGTTGTTGTTGCTGTTATTATTGTTGTTATTATTAAAAGGGTTAAAGTGAGGGTCCAAGCAAAGTGCGTCATGGGAGGCCAGCCCCTCTCAAAAGGCGGTTTGCTCCCCTCAGACTATTTCTGTTTGGGCGGAACGTTTTTGTCGGAGGAGCAGTTTGCGGTCGGGACGGGGGACGAACGGACCGTCGGACGCACCTGCGAGCGGCGCCCGTTTGGGCACGGCGGCTGTCATGGCGGCCTGAGGAGCGGTGCGGCCAAGCGGAGAAACAGCCGGGGGGACAACGGTACCTTGCCCGGTAAGGACTGCGACCCTGAGCCTGGGAAAGAGAAGGGCGCGACTTCGGGGGCCGGAGAGGGCCTCGTTCGCCCCTCCAGAGGAGGCGGGTGAGCCGGCAAGCGGCCGGGAAAGCATTTTCCTTCGCTGCTGCCACTCCGCTGAATGAGACTCCTCTCTCTTCGGAGCCTCCTTGGCTCCCTCCATGGTGCCAGTTGGATGGGAATGATGGGATTTGGAGTCCAAGCGGTTGGGGGAGGGGGTGGCGGCCCTAAGGCGAGCTGGAATTCGGACCAGGGGAATAGCCTTAAGGAGAAAGGGTTGGCTGGGGATGATGGGCGTGGTAGCGGGAACCCTTTTAGCCGGCGTACCCACGTCTTCTTCCACTCCTCCGGATCCACTAGAGGGCGCCCGTTAAGAGAGCCTATCCAAGCTGTTGGCTGCCCCCTGGTGGCCTCGTGGGGTTTTGCAGGCCAGATATGGATCTTTTCTCTTTAATATCTCCTCTCTCTTGCAGGGAACATGTGCAGCCGTCGAGTCCCTTAAACAGGTTGTGTGGTAGCAGTGGCATGCTCCGTCCTTAAACACAAAGGTTGTGTGGTAACCAGTTGTGTGCTCTGTCCATTTCTTTCTCATTTCTGAACACACACGAGTCTGAAGTAACACCACTTATTTCCGTTCACTGCCTCTGGGATACTCTGATAGAGACTCTGTATCTGCAATATCCAGTGGAGACCTCCTCCTTTTCTTTGTAAGCCCCTGACTGGTATGTTTGTTTATTTATTTGTTGAATTTATATTGCTGCCTATTATTCGCCCATGGCGACTCAAGTCGGCTTACAGAATTTAAAAACTGTTGCAAAGAGATGTTGTAATGAAGGACACATACACATGGTTTTTGCGTTCAGAAGTTCCTCCTTTCCTCAGTTCACTGTACTTTATTATACTTTAAATGAAGCAATGTGCTTAGATATACAAGCCCAATGATTGATTTACCCCAGGTTTTACAGCATAGTAAAAGTGCAGTAATTGGCTAATACAATAAGCTAAGAAATGTGCAGGTGGATGAATTTAAGCATATCGTTGACAGTATGTTTCCTGAGGAAAGATCTTTGTTCTAAAATAGCACAGCTCAGAATCTGAGGGGAAAAAACCTTAGACTTTCAATGTAGCAGAAAGAGCTCAGTAATAGAACAGAGAAAAGGTCAGTAATAGGTCATAGAAAGGTCAGTCTCTGGTCAAGTTGGTGTGCCCTATCTTTGACCATTGACTTATCTACAAAAAAGAAAAGAAAATAATAAAAACTAACAAAAGGAATCAAATAATAAAGTACAATAGAACAAAATCTGAAAAAAAATTGCCCCCCAATTCCCCACCCTCGCTGCCCCAATGACAGCAGATCACACGAGCCATTTCATGGGCTCCATCCTGCTCTGGGTTCCCCAGGCCCACTGGCAAAACCAGGTCTTCGGTGCCTCCTGGAAGAGTATTAGAGTGGGGGCCATTCTAATCTCTGGAGGGCGGGGGGATGATGTTCCAGAAAGAGGGAGCCACCACAGAGAAGGCCCTTCTTTTGGGTCCCACCAGGTGTATTTCCCTCAGGGATGGGACCTGCAACGTTCCCTACCTTGTTTGTTTATGAACCACAACTGTATAATCAAACTTTGGACGCTTGGCAGTTGGCTCATATTTATGATGGTTGCAGTTGTTGGAAGTTAAAACCCACCTCTCTCCTAGAATATTGAAATATTTTAGGATATACTAAAAAGGCAGAATATTTCCCCTAAAAGAGAAATCGAAACTCAGAGAGGCAGAAACTCAGCCCTCTTACCTTTGTTAATGGGCCATTAAGTCCTGGGCCAGTCTATTCTACATAACAAAGATCCTTCAGGCCGTTCAATTGCCCTTCGTTGCATCATCCAGCAAGTTTCAACCAAGCTTAGCACACAGCCTACAAAGCTAGCTATGACCTCTGACAGCAACCAATCAGATTACTCTTCCTGTGCCCCAGGAAGTTCAAAGCCAGAGAGGGCATAAAACCCAGGGGCTCTCAGCATCTCTTCCCTTTTTCGCTCAGGAGCTCCAAGGCATGTGATCCTGTCTGCCATTAAACTACCTTTCCAAACAGCCTCCATGTTTCCAGTGTGTTTCTCCCTATTTGGAACTGGACCCAGAAGGATATTTCTTCCAGCACAGCGTCCCAGGGACATGTGAAAACTTTTTGTGACCTCCTTATGAGCAAAGTCAATGGGGTCATTTTACAACCATGTTACTAACTCAACAACTGTGGCAGGAAAAGTTGTAGAATAGAGCCAAACTCACTTAACAACTGTCTTGATTAGCAGCGGAAATGTTGAGCTCAGTTGTCATTCGTTGAAAACGAATGTATGTAAAAACAATTAAAAACTTTCTCTAGCTGATTAACACAATGACTCCCAAACACCCCATTCAGTCACAGTGTGGGCGGTTACTGCCCTAATCCTGATGCTTGGGAAAGCAACCAGGTCTTCAGGGCTTTCTGAAAGATGAACAGAGTTGGAACCAAGTAGCGTGCGAGAGCAGGCACACCTACAGAAAAGGAACATCCCCTGGGTCCTGCTAGGTCAGGGGTGTCAAACTCAAGGCCCGGGGGCCAGATCTAGCCTGGGGGGGTGCTTACATATGGCTTGCGGGGCCACCTTGGAAACAGCAAAGGACTGGCCTGCGGTGCTTCTTCCAGCAAAAATGGAGCTTGGGGGCTGCCTGTGGCCCCCCCTGAGCTCCATTTTCATCGGCAGACGGTTGCAGGAGGCCATTGCAGCTGAAAACAGAGCTCTGGAGCCCGTTTTCACTGGCAGAGCGCTTGGGGCCGCCACAGGCGCCCCCTGACACAAATGATGTTGAGCTGGCCATGCCCACGCTGGCCCCCTGAGGTCAAATACAACCCTGACGCAGCCCCTCAATGGAATCGAGTTTGGCACCCCCACGTTAGATGATCTCTACTAGATGGGACCTGCAGCATATCCCTGTTGTCCCAACTTAATGGGATGGGTAGAATTGACGGCAGTGAGGTGGCCCCTCAGCATCTTATCATACATAATACGGCCAAATGTTTTTATTCTGATGATACACACTGCCAGTATTGTAAACCGTCAAGGCTCAGCCTCTACTGTCATTTGTGGCCGCTGCCTTTTGAATCCATGTTGCAAAATCTGCTGCCTTCCTTACTTTGGCTCCACCTCCCTGTTCAAATATTCAGATTAATGTTAATGTGGACATCTTCATTTGCAGGTTCAAGTAAAAACTGATAAATCGTTAGGATTAGATTATCAATCTGTTCTACCAGCAAGGAAAGGCATTTCTTTAAAAAGTGGCCCCGATTCTGGAATTGTTTAATTTCCTTGATAAGTTTTGGTGGAGGTAGTCCTTGACATACAACCACTCATTTACTGACTGTTCAGAATTATAAAGGCACTGAAAAAACGACCTATGACCAGTTTTTGCGCCTATGATGGTTGTAGCATCCCTAGGGTCACATCCAAATTCAGACGCCTGGCAGCTGGCTTTATTTCTGACGGTTGCACTTTTCCAGGGTCACGTGATCATTGTAAGCTTCCCAATGGGCCTCTGACAAGCAAAGTCAAACAGGGAAGTCATTTAATAACCACGTGACTTACTTAACTGCAGTGATTTTTTTTTTTTTTGGCCTGGGGAAAAATGTCATAAAATGGAGCAAAACTCACTAAATTATCTTACTTAGCAGTGGAACTTCGGGGTTCAGTTGTGATCGTAAGTCAAGGACTACCTGCGTTGCTTTTGTTCCTGATGTAGTACTGACTTATTGTCTTCGTGCTTTTTATAGTTGTTCAAGTAGTTTTGAAAACTTTTAAACGGGAAAAGCAGGAAGTTGTAAATATTGTCACGCTTTCTTTTCTCAGCCTTCGTAAATGTAAACTTTGGGTTTTCACCCGCTTTAGGGTTGAGCATCTCTTGACATTAATTGTTTCTTTAGGACTATACTTTTTTTAGACATGAAATAAAGCTGAAGTGTTTTCATTCATCATACCGGCTTCTGTCACGATATCACTTTTGAACCAAGCATTGAACAGTAACTGTGACACTCTGTTTTTGCAGGGTTTAAAAATTGAGAATGGCAGGGGAGCCAAAACCAGCCTGTAATCTCCTGGAACAGTTCATTTTATTAGCCAGAGGCACCAGTGGTTCAGCTCTGATTGCCCTCATCAACCAAGTGCTGGAGGCTCCTGGGATTTACGTATTTGGAGAACTACTGGAATTAACTAATGTGCGAGAGGTGAGTGCTGGGCATGTTCTTTTCTTCACTTGTTTCCATGCCGGGGCAAGATGTTACAGTAAGATTCCAGTAGAAGAGAAATCTGTAGCTCAGGGTTGAACTGCAGCGCCCTTGATGCTTTAGGATTTTGGTGGTTTTTCTTGCAGACATTTCGTTGCCCAACTAGGTAACATCATCAGTGCTGGCAAGGGGTGGGGTTTCCTTTCCGTTTTTATACAGTAGCTTGCCCTGCCAGTGTTAGTAGAGGTGTGGTTTTCTCCTTGATAGCTTTTACCACTCTAGCAACCAACATCCCGGGAGGGAATTGAAGAATTCATGTGTATCATCTGAGGCCTGGGAGAAGCTCAACGCCTCAAGGTCTAACGGTGAGAGCTTTCTGTTTCCCAAAACAAAGAGATTGCGCTGGATTGCTGGACAGTGGACATGTGGGTGGCCCAGGGGAGAAAAAGGAGGGATTTTTACTATGCAGTTTTTGCAGGAAAACCTCAGAATTGGCTTTGCTTCTTCTGTATCCTGAATGAATTTATCAGCAAAATCTTGGTAAAATAATGTCCCTGGAGTTTCTTTTGCTGCGTATGCCAGTGGGGCAGGTGATACTGCCCTTGTCAGTGGGGATGAGGGACTGCATTGAATAAAATTCCACTCTTGGTTCCTCACAATTTGTAAACTGATACACTCCCTGTGCCAAGGAGCGGCATCCAAGCCATTGGTGCTGCTTCCTGTATCTTGAAATCTAGCATTGAAGATGGTGACCTCTGGTACTGAAATATAGGTAGCTTTTGACTTACGACCACCGTTGAGACCAAATTTCTGTTTTTCTTAAGTGAATTTTGCCCCATTTGACGACTTTTTCTTGCCACCGTTGTTAAGCGGATCACTGCAAATATGAGTCAGTTGCCACAAGCATCCGAATTTTGATCAAGTGACCACAGGGACGCTGCAACAGTTTTAAGTGTGAAAAAGGGTCATAATTCACTTTTTTTTTTCGGTGTTGTTGTAATTTTGGTCACTAAATGAGTGGTTGTAAGTCAAGTACTAGCTGTAGTAGCCTTTGTGACCTGTCTTGATTCAGCTGTGTGTGCCATCCTGTCCTCACCAAGCTCTGGCTTAGTCTCTTCCTTTGGCCATGTGTTAATAGCACATGAATAGCCCAAAGGTGCTTTTTCAAGAAGCAACTGGACTTTCTGTTTTTTTTCTTCGAAGATGTTTCGCTTCTCCTCTTAGGGGACTGGAGGCTAAAACATATGAAGAACGGTTGCTGGAACTGGGTATGTCTAGTCTAATGAAAAGAAGGACTAGGGGAGACATGATAGCAGTGGTCCAATATCTCAGGGGCTGCCACAAAGAAGAGGAGGTCAAGCTAATTCTCCAAAGCACCAGAAGGCAGGACAAGAAGCAATGGGTGGAAACTAATCAAGGAGAGAAGCAACCTAGAATTAAGGAGAGATCTCGTGACAGAACAATTAACCAGTGGAACTGCTTGCCTCCAGAAGTTGTGAATGCTCCAAGACTGGAAGTTTTAAAAAAGATGTTGGATAACCATTTGTCTGAAGTGGTGTAGGGTTTTCTCCCTAGGCAGAGGGTTGGGCTAGAAGACCTCCAAGGTTCCTTCCAACTCTGTTACTCCTATTCTGTTCTGTTCTATTCTATTCTATTCTATTCTATTCTATTCTATTCTATTCTATTCTATTCTATTCTATTCATCCAGGAAACTTCTTCAGCTCAAGAGCTGAAGAAGCTCCTTGGATGAGAAGCGAAACGTCTTCAAAGAAAAACCAAAAAGTCCAGTTGCCTTTTGAAGGAAAAAAAAAGAAAAGAAAAGCACTTTTGGAAGAACTTGGAGGAATAAGAATCGCCCCAGGTACACGAATAACCCTTTTTGCTTTTCTTATCTCTCCAGATTGCCGAAGGCCCGAATGCTGCTCATTTTCAGCTGCTGAATCTATTTGCCTACGGAACCTATCCGGATTACGTCGGTAAGAGTCCACCGGAACGCTAGAAAACTTTGACCCAATGCAAGTAGCTGCAATACCTGTCTGTCTCTCTAGCGATCAAATGTATACAGGTAGTCCTTGATTTACCAAATTTCGTTTAGTGACTGTTCAAAAAGTTATGATGGCACTGAAAGCAGTGACTTAGGACCGTTTTTTCACAGTGACCACCTCTGCAGCATCCCCGTGGTCGTGTGATCAAAACTCAGACGCTTAGCAACTGGTTCATACTTACGACCGCTGCAGCGTTCTGGGGTCACATGATCCCCTTTTGAGACCTGACCAGCACAGTACACGGGGGAAGCCAGATTCCCTTAACGACCAAGTGAGTAACTTATCAACTGTGGTGATTTGCTTAACAGCTTGTTGACAAGAAATGTCGTAAAACGAGGCAAAGCTCACTTACCAAATGCTCACTTTAACAACATACATTTTGGGCTCAGTTGTGGTTCATAAGTTGAGGACTACCTGTATAGCTGTCCTTCTCATTAAAGCCAACTGTGGGTGATACACAACGATGAATGCTGCCTTTGTAAGCTTCTTACAAAGATCTTAAATTTCTTTCTCAAAATATCCAGTTATGGTTGATTTAAAGGAAGATCACACAATATGTCTTGTCAGTTTTACCCTGGTAGGTAGGTGTGATGAGCCGGAGTGTAACACAAATGTAACAAAATCCAAAATGTAAATAAATGTCCTTTAATGCCTGCAACTTGGCCCCACTGTTCAATAATTCTCAGTTGGAGATAAAACATATTCAAAAATAGTCTTCAAAAGAAAGCAATACAGTCCGAATTTAATAAGCAGATAGAGGTGAAATAAAAAACCAAACCAACAACAAATTTCCACAATGGAACAAGAGAAGTATTTACCAAATTCAAGGAGATAATAAGGCAGTCTTTTGGAAGGACGCCAACCAAGATAACTTCAGGCCAAAATAACACACGCTTTGCTTCTAGCAACACTGTTTTAACCGTCTCTCTTATCTACTCCCCAGCTGCAACCAATGAGGGGGATCATGGCCACTTCCTCTCTCATAAGCCAAGTTGTTGCCTTATCCGTTCTTCCCTGCGTGTCCTAGGATAAAGAGGGGATGGGCCTGGTTTTGACTGCCCCAGTCGGCCTCTGCCCTTCCCCAGCCTCCTCCACAACCTCTGGAGCCACACTTCCACTTCCTGTCGGCTGTTCCTCCTCTCCCTCGGAGTCTGACTCTAACAAGAGCATGACAGTAGGCTTAATCTGTTGTCCAGAGTGTCTTTACTGGTTGTGTACAATGTAGGAAAGGGACAGAGTGATCCCACTGTGTGGGATTTCTGGATAAGAGCTGCTCTTTGGATCTTTTACGGCTGTGTAATTTACAATCTTTCATTTGTAACATTTAAGATTCAGTGTTCTAACTGCTGATCTGTAGAACAGTGTAGAATTCCCGGTTCACGCTGGTAGCAAGGGATGTTTTTTATTTATATGGGTGGCCCTCGTTTAATGACCGCTTCTCCGGCAACTATTCAAACTTATAAATGGAGCTGAACAAGCGGTACTTAGGACTCAAAAGTTTGGCGTTCGGCTCGCAGCTATGACACTGCAGAATCACCATTCTGTGCCAGTTTCCTACAAGCAAAATCAACAGGTTGGTCGCGGAATCAAAACCACGTGAAGTGTTAGTACCGTTTTATCAAGTTAAGACCACACCTAGAATGCTGCATCCAGGCTTGGTCACCACTTTACAGAAAAGATGTTGAGACTTCGGGAAAAGGTACAAAGAAAACTGTTTGGACCCAGACCCTTTTCCAATAAAACAAACACGAACCAACGGGAACAGAAACCTTTTAATGATTCTTACGAATCCCCAGTTAAAAGGCTGCTGCAAACTAATTAACTTTGATAAGCACAAGCCTCGCCAAAACCGTGCTAGTCTGCCAAGAATCACAGATAAGAAATATTTCACAACACAAGAGTCTTCAAATACCAACTTAAGATACTGTAATGTCCACGAGGCTGAGGTTCAAAATGTCTTTGCTTCCTGCAAAGAACGTTCTCTTCGCAGCTGGCTTTTATCTTCTTGAAGGAGGGGCCATTACCTTGCAGCCTTACTCCCGAGTCGCCCGTGCTGCTGTAATTGTTCTTTCCTCCAAGTAATCCTTCATGCATGTGCACTTGGCACAGGCTCCTCGGGGACCTCCTCATCGCTGCTGCCAGCCCCCACAATCTCTGAAGGTAGCAGTCCACTCCCTGATGGTCCTGGCCCCTCATCTGAGTCCTCGCTCTCCTCAGCCGTCCGCACCTGCTGCCAGCTAATCACAACAAAGAGCAACTAAAATGATTAAAGGCCTGGAGACTAAAAAAAATATGAAGAACAATTGCAGGAATTGGGTTTGGCTAGTCAAGAGGAAAAAAAAGTACTGGTGTTGGGGACATGATAGCAGAATCCCAGTATTTGAGGGGCTGCCTTGCCTTCTGGTGTTTTGGAAAATAAGTTGACAAAACAAGAAACAATGGATGGAAACTAGCCCAGGAGAGAAGCAAACTGGAATCAAGGAGAAACTTTCTAAAAGTGATGACAATTAATCAGTGGAACTGCATGCCACCAGAAGTTGTGGGCACTTCCATCACTGGAGGTTTTTAAGAAGAGACTGGAAAATCACTTGTCTGAAGTGGTATAGGGCATTGGTGGCTAACCTTTTTTGGGCTCCTGTGCCAAAAATTGTGTGCACGCTTGCATGCTCGCACTCATGTGCCAACACCCAGAAGGCAATGCGTGCCGCCCATGCCCCTACGCATGCGCGCGCAATCCCACCACCACCACACCTTATCTGCAATGTGCCTCACAGTTGATTTTTGGCCTTTTTCGGCCTCCTAGAAGCTTGAGGAAGGCTTCTGCAGGCTTTGCAGGCCAAAAGCTAGGCCCATTTCGTCACTTCTGGTATTAACAGGAAGTGATGAAACCGGCCTAAGTTTTCGGCCTGCAAAGCCTGCAGAAGCCTTCCTCAAGCCTCTGGGAGGCCAAAAAGGGGCCTCAAACTGACCGAAAATCAGCTGTGAGGGACGCGCACATGCGCCGTGAGGTAGGTTTGCCTGCAGCTCGCGTGCCAGCACAAATGGCTCTGTGTGCCACCTGGTGGCATGCGTCCATAGGTTCGCCATCCCAGGTATAGGGTTTCCTGCTTGAGCAGGGGGCTGGACTAGAAGACCTCCACGGTCCCTTCCAGCTCCATTGTGATTCTGACGGGAGACGTGTACGACCCCCACGTGACAGTCGATGCCCCCTCTCTTCCAAAACGGCCCCAGGCTGACAATCTTTGACATTTGCCGGGGCGTTAAGGGGAAACGCAAGGACGTTTTGACCCCAGACACATTCGGTTTCATCCATAATCTGAAGGTGTTGTTGAAATGTGATTTCTCGCACAGCGAACCAGAAAAACCTGCCAGCTTTGACGGGGCCCCAGAAGAACAAGTTGAAGCACTTGACCATTGTCAGCTTAGCTTCCAGAATGAAGGTAAAGTAGAAATGCACTCAATTTTTTTAAAAAAAGTTATTTTCTGCAGGCGGAGCCATTGGCAGACATGCATGCAGAGGTCACCAGTGGGGGCTCCGCTCTGTTCCACCGAAAACTAGAAGTTTTAGAATAGTCGCCCGTTTAGGACTTCAGTAGAGAAATTGACAAATTGGGCCAAATTGGAGCTTGTGGATGCTCTTCTCTCTAGCATTTGGGGATGGACCCATTAGACTTCCTCCTTCCCTCCCTTCCTTTCTCTTTTTTCTTTCTTTTTATCTCTTTTTCTTTCTCTTTATCCCTCCCTCACTCCTTTTCTCTCTCTTTTTCTTTCTCTTCCTTCCTTTCTCCGTCTGTCTCTCTCTTTCTCTCTCTTTCTCTTTCTCTATCCCTTCCTTCTCCTCCTCTTTTTCT